CACTCATTATATGATCATCATCAAAACACATACTAAAAATTAATTTGGTAAAAAAATAAAAAATAAAAAAATTATCATTTTTATATTATTTTATCTTTAGTGAATAGAAATATTTTTTAAAAATTTAAAAATAATTTTTTGACATTTATTTTTGTCAAATTCATTTATATTTTATTAAATTGACGACTTTACTCTTGAAATTGACCAACAAGGTCTTCAATTTTCTTTATTTGGAATGAGATTCAAATTTTAAGATCAAATGTATCACAATTGAAAAGTCAGGAACTAAAATGATACAAATCCTAAACTATAGGAACTGTTTGTGTGATTCATCCAAATTAATCACCAACACGCAATCATACACCAAAAAATTCTGAGCAGAAAAATTTTATGCAACATAAATGACTTGCTCTGCAATTCCTGTACTCCCGTTTTTATTTTTAATAATTGTGTTTTCGATTTCTCTCACTAAGAATGCCTTTGCAAAATATGAAGCTCTCCACACACACTAATTACCTACTTCCAATTGTAGTCTATAGACTCTATAGCACAATAATTTCACCTTTTATTCGTCTTAAATACATACAGTCACTTTAACTGGTACCACAACATTGGATCATATATATATATATATATATATATATATCCAAGCACAAAATGAATACAACAAGAGGCAATACCAGAGCTAGCTCTTATTGGGTTGGCTTGTTATTCCTCTCGCCTAGATCATCATGGCTGGAATATTTGCTCTGTTAACTATGCTTGCTTTGGCTTGCCTTCTCACTGAAGCCTCTATCCATGTCGCTGCATTATACGTATTCGAGGAGTCAATCGTTGATGGAGGAAACACGCAGCCAAGTCCACCATATGGCATTGATCTTAACACAACATTACGCTTTCGCTGGACCAATGGAAAAACTGTTGCTGATTTCATAGTTAACAAAGCAAGTATTCCAACCATGATGATCTAGGCGAGAAGAACAGCAAGCCAACCCAATAAGAGCTAGCTCTAGTATTGCCTCTTGTATTCATTTTGTGCTTGTATATATATAAATGATTTAATGTTGTGATACCAGTTAAAGTGGTTGTCTGTATTTAAGACCAATAAATGGTGCAATTATTATGCTATAGACTACAATTGAAAGTAGGTGATTAGTGTTGTGTGGTGAGCTTCACATTTTATTAAGGCATTCTGAGTAAGAGAAATTCATAACACAACAATCATAGCCAAAATTTAGAAGAAAAAATAATACAACTCTCATAATAGGAAAAAATAAATACCACAAAAAATATCTAACTCTTCTATATATCAAAGTTAGACCCACAACCTCACAACACAAAATGGTCTTTTGGCTACTTTGTTGAAACTTGGAAGGATATTTTTTGATACAAAAAATTAATTTATAGATGTTTATAAAAATTAAAATTAATACAATTTTTTTTTTATAAAAATGATATCTTTATGGATGTTTTGTTTAAAAGTGAAAGGTTTATATTGAATTTTGTATGAAAATTCTATATAAACTTTTTGTTAATTATACATCATTACTCTTTATATATTAGGGTAAACTACCAATGGGTCCTACTTTTGAGACTTATTACCCATTAAGTCCTATTGATTATATTACCCATTAAGTCCTATTGATAAATTTATTAAGTGATAAAGATAAATTTATCAGTCTTTTATTTTTATGAATAAATTTCTAGTGATAAATTTATCAATCTCTTTGTTTTTATGAATAAATTTATAGTGATAAATTTATCAATCTCTTATTTTTATAGTGTTAAATTTATTAGTTAAGACCTGTAGGTAAATAAGTCTAGTTAATAGGACTGATTGGTAAGTACCCCTATATATTACATGACTATTGTAACTTGTACAGAAATGCTAGGGACTCAAAAAATTTATTTATAAGAATATTATTTATAAAGAACGATGAATGGATGGTTGATATTCATTTCATATATAAGTCTTAACTATATAACAATGGGAAATTCTATGACAATTAGATAAATCACATATCTATTTTTTATTCATTTTCTGAGTTGTTGGTTGCCTTTTTTTTCTTTGGTAAAATAGGATGTCTTCTGTAACTTATATATGTTTGTTGTTTTCTGCATGGGAAATAAGCTACCCTCATTCTCCCACAATGATTATATCCAAAACCTGTAATCCATAAAAGCAAATCAATGTCACTCAGTATGCTAAAATGGCAGTCTTATTTCCAATATTTAAGATATATAAAGCTTCTTCTAACATGCAGAGATAGCAGTGGAGGACTGGTTTGGTGGGTGTCAGTCTTACTTGAATAAGTCATCCATCTGTGTGTCTCTGAAAAGGTTCCTCCTTGGGAGTGTGGGGCTGTGTTTGATGATATCAAGAGATTGGCTATTCAAGGGAATTTCTCCTTCAAATGGAGTCCAAGAACAGCAAACACAGCAGCACATTGGGTAGCCCAAGAATTTCTGCGTGGTCGGCTTCCCCTGAATTGGATTTCCCAACCTCCACGTGCTGTGTTGCTACTTCCCCAGAATTGGATTTCCCAACCTCCACGTGCTCTGTTGCTACTTCCCCAGAATTGGATTTCCCAACCTCCACGTGCTCTGTTGCTAGCATTCACCTAGAAACTCAGAATAAAAGCTTGGCCATGTGCGGATTTGGGTTCTGAAACTCAGAATAAAAGCTTTTAAACATGGCACATGGCCAAGCTTCTAAAGATGGCCAAGCGGATTACCAAATGAATGAACATGGCACATGGCCAAGCTTTTAAATCTACACATTCACACAGCTTTATTAAATCTTCCTCCAACAAGGCCAAGAACAATGAATAAACATTCTCACAACCCAAATCCCCAAATGAAACTCACAATAAAAGCTTGGCCATGTGTGGATTTGGGTTCTGAAACTCAGAATAAAAGCTTTTAAACATGGCACATGGCCAAGCTTTTAAATCTACATATTTACACAGCTTTATTAAATCTTCCTCCAACAAGGCCAAGAACAATGAATAAACATTATAGTGCTTTTGAAAATCAAAAACATAGCATTATAGGTCAAGAATAAAACTGTAGTTATATGTATATAATTGTAGCTATATATATGTATGTATATATATATATATAATCTTCTTTGATATATATATGTATACATATAAACTGTAGCTATTGTGCTTCGTTGATGATGATGCTCACAAACCCACCTCAAAGAAGAAAAAAAAAAAAAACACTTTTTCTTAAAGAAATGTGATGATTTTGATCTTCATATATATATATATACACAAATTTATATATATATATATATATTTGCGATCTTCAATTTTTTAAACATACCCAAACGAAACCCGGGAGTTCTTTTACAATACAAGATCTACAAGATGTTCAGTGATGATTTTGATCTTCATATATATATTTGTGATCTTCAATTTTTTAAACATACCCAAGCGAGACCCAGGAGTTCCTTTACAATACAAGATCTACAAGATGTTCAGTGTTTGGATTGAGTTTTAGAGAGTGGTGAGAAGAGCATCAGAGATTAAACTCTTCCTTGTTTGGGACAACTGTTCTTCTTCATCGTCGTCTTCTTCATCGTTCTCTTTAGAGATTAAACAAAAGTTATATATACAAGGGCAAAATAGTCTTTTTACTTCTGATATTAACGGTGTTAACTGTGCACTTTACTCCATCAACCACAGGGAGGTTATGTAGTGATATTCGAAAGTCAGGAGACTAATCCGCGTATGGCCTAAACCAAATGAGAGTAAAGTGAAGTTTGCCTTTTTTTTTTATTTTTATTCAACTAGATGAAAATACGTAACCAAATAATATTAAATTTGTAAATATTTCTTGATTAAATGAGTTCTTTGTGTTAATTTTGTGTTTACATGAGTTCAACACAAATCCAATATATTTAATGTTTACGTTACCTACTTATGCCATATTTGCTGTCATGTTGGAAGATAATTAACTCTAACCCTTTAATTTTGTGTCCAATTTAAATAGTGTTTTTGTGTTATGTCAAAAAATGGTAACCTCAATTTTTAGGGTAAATTACAAATACTCCCTTTGCATTTGCTTGAAATATAGATTGTCCCTATAATATGAAAAATTACAAATGTCTCATTGTCAGAATTTTTTTATTTAATAGAATTACCTGAAAAAATAAAATACATAACTATTCTCCTATGCAATGATAAAATTATTTAAATTATTAATTAAAATAAATGATCTAGTATTATCAAAAACTATTAATTGATTTAATGATTTATTAAAAAAGTAGGTCATTTGTTATAAAATTAAAAACTTCAAGGGGTGGATGCAATTTTCAAAGCCTCAGGAGACAAATCATATTTTAAGCAAATCTCAAGAATGTATTTGTAATTTATTCCAATTTTTTATTAAAACAATATTTTTTTGACAAAAAATAATTATATAAAAATTATGAGTGTTTCATTTATTTTAATTTTTTTATTCAAAAAATTTTAAATTTTCGTTTTTTTTAATGGAACAAATTATGTAAAGGAAGTATGTCAAGTTTTTATTTTTTTAGTTTTTCTAAGTGAAACTAAAACCACAATTCGTACAATGTGTATAGAATTTTGCTCGCTTTACAGTGCTAGCATGAAAACAGGACATGAACGTAATCATAATAGTGGTTAGCAAATTTTAGTAATCATAATGGTCAAATGCAAACCTGGCTTATAATCCTTCGCATTTAGGCCTTGTTTGGGAATTCTCATTTCTAACTAAAAAGTCAAAAAATTACTAAATTAGCCAAAAAGCTAACAACCCATAACAAAAAGTCTCTATTTTTTGCACATCTTTTCGTAAAAAATTAAAAAGTCATCCCAAACATACTAGTTTTTTTTAATTCATATTTTAGCCAAATAGCTAAAAAATTACTAAATTAGCCTGTTCCCAAACGAGGCCTTAGAAATAAAAATCTAACGATAGTCGTAGCATGAAAACAAGACATGAACGTAAATCAATGCACAAAACGCATATGCAAAGTAAAGCAAGCAAAACCCACTTTCATTTCATTAAAAGAAGGGAAGAAAAAAAAGGAGGCCATTACATAATAGAAACAACTGGAGTAAGAGGCATTAATTAGTACGTGGAATCCTAAACTTTGGAAAATACAGGAAACCGGCCCCTTAAAAGTATATCCATGCATATAATGAAAACGCAACATAAAAGTCAGCTGAGTTAAGCTCCAACAAGAGTCCTGATATTGAGCGGACTGCAAAGTGTTCCACCGAAACAATTCAACAAAAAAACATAGTTGGCTGCTTGAGTGGGATGAACAGTGTCAAAGTTGAGATATTGATCTCTATCCTTGCAGATGGTATTGGGATTGTTATAATTGTAGCACTTGCCGGTGGTATTGGTTATCCCTGCAACAAAGAATGAGGGGTTAGGTTGGCAATCATAGAATAAGGAAGGTTTCTTTGTTCCACCTCACATGGGGAAGAATGATAGAGAGAAAACAGGAACAACATTTTTAAAATATGGTATTGGGTTGGTTATACATATGTTCTCTATTAATTGTTACTTTCGATCAAAATTTTTAAAATATGTTTTACTAGAAGAAAATTATGGGCATTTTCGCATTTTCGCGGGGACCTTACAACTGGTTGCAGTTTCAATTCTGCCAAGGTAGTTCACTTTTGTTTTCAATCAAATGATTTGCATCACTGGAAACCAATTGAAATTAGATGTCATTTTCTGTTACACACACAAACACAAAGAGATGGAGGGAGGGAGAGAAATCTTACCAAAAATCTGCATCAATAATCATAAATCAACATAAAGCAAGCATTGCAGATGCCTATAGTTCAGGATACTAAAAAAAAAACAGCGATCAAATTAGTTCTTAGATTATTATTATTATTTTTATTTTTTTTGCTGTTGGGAGATAACTTCGCTTAGTAGACATCTAATTCAAGATACTGAAGAATACAATTAGCCAAGATGAAAGGCATTGCTGTTCATATTGGCTATTGGGGACGCAAATATTCAAACAAATCCTCACGCTCCAATACTGACAAGAGAACAATCACTTTACTAATACTGACAATATTAGCCACTAACATCTCTGTCCTAACCAATCCTTACAAGGTCAGAGTAACAACTTTGAGGAGCATAATCAAACCAACAATTCCTAAAACTTCACCCTTAAAGTAGTGCCAACCATCACATAAATAACCTTATTATAGGATATAGTATTGCTTAGAGAATATCTTCTTCATCAATATGTTCTTCTAAGGAGGCAGATTTGAAATAACATTTTCTTTTTCTTTTTTTTCTTTTTTTTTTTAACCCCTTTTGTTCAGCAATAGCTCCTGCCAGGAGCTAAACATCATATAGGAAGGTATTAACCAAAAGTTGTATGGTTGGTTGGAAGCTTCCAAGAAGAAAAAGAAGAAAGAAACTTGCTAGATCAGCCATACAGCAGCCAGAAGGCCCAAAACAACCATACAGCAGCCAGAAGGTTGCCTCATCAAGCTACCTTCGGTTCAGCCATAATCACACATCTTTATTGATCCTAAACATCTCACATGATCCTGGATTTGTGCAAGAATGAATTGGTCTCTACTTAATTATCATTGTATTGACAATCAAAACTGTAATGCTTCTAGAATTGCATGTCTGTGTGTAACATGGATGGACATTTATACACTTAGGCGTATGCACATACGCAAATATGTATTGTTAACAAAATTCTAGTAGCAACTCCAGGTTGATAATTTTTTTGGCTATATGCCAAATCTGGTATGCATCATTTTCACACTCATTTCCCAGCTCAAAGCAGAGAGAGAGAGAGAGAGAGAGAGAGAGAGAGAGAGTTACCTGCAAGGTATTGTGCTTGAGTTATGGTAATAGTGTCTGTAGTTACTCCATTAACGAGGGGTCCCCCATATTGCAGAACATGACGACCTGGTGTCACATAACCCTGAATGGTTGGATACCCATGGTTGCCAAAGAGAGGATGACCCATTTGTCCATATGGGACATTATTATTATTATTATTATTATTATTATTATTATTATTATTATTATTATTATTATTATTATTATTTTGCTGTTGGGAGATAACTTCGCTTAGTAGACATCTAATTCAAGATACTTAAGAATACAATTAGCCAAGATGAAAGGCATTGTTGTTCATATTGGCTATTGGGGATGCAAATATTCAAACAAATCCTCAAGCTCCAATACTGACAAGAGAACAATCACTTTACTAATACTGACAATATTAGCCACTAACATCTCTGTCCTAACCAATCCTTACAAGGTCAGAGTAACAACTTTGAGGAGCATAATCAAACCAACAATTCCTAAAACTTCACCCTTAAAGCAGTGCCAACCATCACATAAATAACCTTATTATAGGATATAGTATTGCTTAGAGAATATCTTCTTCATCAATATGTTCTTCTAAGAAGGCAGATTTGAAATAACATTTTCTTTTTTTTTAACCCCTTTAGTTCAACAATAGCTCCTGCCAGGAGCTAAACATCATATAGGAAGGTATTAACCAAAAGTTGTATGGTTGGTTGGAAGCTTCTAAGAAGAAAAAGAAGAAAAAAACTTGCTAGATCAGCCATACAGCAGCCAAAAGGATGCCTCATCAAGCTACCTTCAGTTTAGCCATAATCACACATCTTTATTGATCCTAAACATCTCACATGATCTTGGATCTGTGCAAGAATGAGTTGGTCTCTACTTAATGATCATTGTATTGACAATCAAAACTGTAATGCTTCTAGAATTGCATGTCTGTGTGTAACATGGATGGACATTTATATACTTAGGCGTATGCACATACGCAAATATGTATTGTTAACAAAATTCTAGTAGCAACTCCAGGTTGATAATTTTTTTGGCTATATGCCAAATCTGGTATGCATCATTTTCACACTCATTTCCCAGCTCAAAGCAGAGAGAGAGAGAGAGAGAGAGAGAGATAGAGAGTTACCTACAAGGTATTGTGCTTGAGTTATGACAATAGTGTCTGTAGTTACTCCACTGACGAGGGGTCCCCCATATTGCAGAACATGACGACCTGGTGTCACATAGCCCTGAATGGTTGGATACCCATGGTTGCCAGAGAGAGGAGGACCCATTTGTCCATATGGGACAATATTTGTGTTAACTGTGCTTGGTACGCCATATATTTGAAGGTAGTGCTGACCCATGTGAGGATTGTACACCCTAAAAAAATAGACAGAACACACCATGATTGTGCACATATTCCTTTCTAGAACCAACTGGAGTACCAAAATACCCATTAGCAGTTGAGATTTGAATTTACTGACCTGTGGGTAGGCATATTCAGGTCCAAAAGATGCGTACCTGCCAAAGGAAAGATTAATGCCTTGATGTCAAAGAGCACATCAATCAGTTTAGGTTGTCATGCAAGTGGACGTCAGATGATCATGTAACTGAACACATGAAGCTCTGACATCATAAGAACAAGGCTTTTCTATCATACACAAGTTACCATGGCAATCATCTTGTGCTGATGCATATACCTTCGGTTTTTTGAATTAATAATAAAAACATAAAAAGCGGACAAGTTCAAAAAAATATCACGAACAAACAAACTTTAATTCACAAAAGTTAACTTGATTTTCACAAGTGTCTAAATAAACTTTGCTAGTAAACATCAACTTCTACAAACCTCTGGTTGATAATCAACAATGACTTCAACAAAGAAAACGGAAGCGCAAGAATTTGCTCAATTAGCTATTTGTCTGGATAGGGGCAATTTAACTCTCCTATAGGCTCATTTTGCCCACGAAAGTGCAAAATCATGCGAGTTTGTAGAGATTGAGAACACCAACAGGTGGAAGTGGATTTTCACATAAGTCTTAGTTCATACTCGCCGGCCATGGTTATGTATCTCACACATGGAAGAGCCTGGTAGCCGCTTTTCTCGATAATCTTTAGGTAACGAATCTACAAAACACAACATTTACATAAATAAAGGATATTATTTTATTATGGTTGTTACGTTACGTTCAGAACCAAACTGAGCATCCAGAAGAACCAAAAAGTAGGAATGTGTCATCATGAAAAGTCACCAAAGCAGTTTCCCCAACCAACTTGAATAAAATAAAATAAATTTCAAAGTTAAAAAACCAGTGGCACTGTTCACTCCTCGGAACAAGAACAAGACCAGAACTAGGGCAAGTAGGCATCAACCCCTTCGCTTAAGGTTTAGAAGTTTCACATCCCAGCAGCGGAAAGCAGCAAGCAAGAATCAGAATAATTATAATACATAGGTTCAATCATGCTCAATCACTAACATCTGTGGAAAACCACATCTCTAAGAAGTTCAACAGGCTATTCTATTCTAAAAGGAAATACAGTGCAGGAGCAGGAATACCACTTCAAGCACAGCTTCTGTCAATGGCTAATGACAAATTACAGTGCCAAAATGGCTGAGACAGACACAGAGTAGTTTGGCCTTTTTTTGTATCCACATCTGTGAATTTAAAAAGCAGGTTGGCCCTTTTAATGCAGAGTCAAAAGGAAGTAATATTGGAATAGGTAGTTACAGGGGAGCAGTCGTTCACAATCATTCATGACCTCTGTTGGGAGGACAAGCATTTCAGGGCATAATGAAACCCAAAAAAGAGTCATACAAAATGCAGATTTATGTATCCTGCAATCCTGGGAAGTGAGTGAAATAGTATTCTCAGTCCAACAACCAAATCTTTTTTTTTATTATTATTTATTTATTTTTATATTTGTTGATTTGATCAAGGAGAGCAGAGCAGTAATGGTCGGTGCATGGCTACATGCACGTAACAGGGAGTGATATCCTGCATCAGATTCGTGTGTTCAACCACATCAAGTATGAATCCTCCCACCTGATTGGAACACAAAGTTTGGTTTGGTTTTGGTTTATCATTCCTGATTGGAACACAAGGTTTGGTTTTATCCATTCCACCTTTGTCCAGATAGATTAAAAAAAATGAAAAAAAAAGATGCAAACACAGCAGACACAGAAAGAATGAAGCATTGCAGATATAATGCAACAATATCTGAATTTTCTATTCAATAAAAAATTAAAATAAAAAAATTTTGTATTTGAGAGGGGAAACCTGGATTCCTGAAACAGCAAAATATGGTATCTCAAACTTCACACGTATAGGAGCTTTTCTCTCAGGAGCTGCGTCTTCAGATGTTATACTGGGAAGAGTATACTCCGCTCTAAGCATATATTCCTAAATTGAATTTGCAAAGAGTGTCAAAATTCCATGTCAAAATTGCAAGTGGAAAAGATACTGTAGCCCCACATAACCAATAGCCATGAACAAGAAATTACTAGCAAACAATACACTGAGAAAAAGTTGAGGTAAACTCTCACCTTACCACCAGGAAAAGATTAATTTTCCGGATCAAAGCATCCTTTTCTGGTGCATATGAAGCAGATCCCAATGATGTCCGAACATTTGGGTTGGTAGCATCGGCTGGAACAGGCAACTCAATCTCAACATTTGTAGCAGTGCTGTAAAATTGATTCAATGCATGAATTACTTAAGAAAAATCTAATGATCAGGCATTTCAAACAGCCCAAGCAATTGACCCATAAATCCTTAGCCATACCTGCGAATGAACAACGGCAAGGCTCGACACCACTTCTCCCCCAAAACAAAGCTTTTGTTGCTGAGCAAGGTCTCGGATCTCGGAACAGAGACCACCAATAGCTTCGACAAAGGAACTAGGAGTAGGGACCTCGGACTGAACCCCAATCGAAGCCCTAGGGCTCATACCCAAAACGATCTCGGAGGCAGAAGACTGATTTTTACCCCCATTTCGCTTCACGATGTCCATCAATGTTAACAAATCCCTCTCCAACAGTGAATCTTTCACGATGTGCGAACTCCCCTTAGGCGAAGGAGAACCTTCAGTCACTAACCCATCAACCATCGTAGCCAAATTGCGTAAATTAGATATGAGATCAGCCATTATCAACGAAATGTTGAATGAGAAAACCCTAGAAATTTAGGCAATTTCTAGAGAGAAGCCAGACTCTCTCTCTCTAACCCATCTTTTCCCGAACCCTCAATCTCTCCTTTCACACCCACTTTCTTGTCGATACCCTCCGGCGACAGTGTTGCTGAGATTTTGGAGATGTTTGGAGAGGATGCCAGGGGTGAGAGACGCCATTTTTGTGGTTGAAAATTATATTTTTTAAATTTTAAAAAGTATTTATGACCTAAAAGATAAAAATATACAAAAATAATAAGTTTTTTTTTTCACCCAATTTGTTTTTAGTTTTTTAGGAAAAAAAAATTTGAAACTAGTTTCTGAAAATAAAAACAAACATATTGAAATTGATAATCTAACCATATTCTTTAAAAAAGTTTAAATTATCTCAAATTAGTCATCTCAACTTAAGAGTGTGTTTGGGCTCAATGAGTTTATTTTGTGATCTAATTCAATGATCATTTTAATTTTACAATTCAGTAACTAAAATATTTAAAACTCTTTCAAAAATTATAATCAAAAACACAAATCACTAAATCACATCATTCCACTAGCAAAACTTTTACCAACGAATAGTGTCATCGTCGCTAAATGGTTAACTCTTTGCCCACGCCAACTTGCCGTCGCCAAAAGTAAGCACACTAATAGCAATGCTCATTGTGTTGCTAAAACATAAGTCTCGTAGATAAAAGTTTTGAAATTTTGGCGCCAACCAAAAAATTTGGCGCTAAAATAATGTTATGCCTTTTTAGCGATGGCAACAAATTGCGTCGGTAAAGGTATACTTTTACCAACGAAATTGATCACTGTGTCGCCAAAAATATACTTTTAGCGATGAAAAATTGATGTGGCCAAAAGTTGTCGCCAAAAGTGCAACTTCTTGTAGTGGTATAAGATTCATGTGAAGTTTGGTGAAGATTAATTTCTAAGTAATTTCTAGATTAATAAGGGTAGGCTTGTAATATTACTCATAATTTCATGTCCTAAGCATATGTATCTATCTAGTACACTTGGGTTTGACCTACTGGTTTTGTAGTCACACTTTAAGGTGTGGTGGTGAAGGGAAGATCAATGGTTCAAGTTGATGGAGCAGTGGTGACCTCTTTAGTTGTAATCTAACTTTATTAACAATTTAATATCCTACAATACAATCTTCGTAAAAAAAAATAAATAAATAAAATAATTAAAAAAAAGACTATAAACAGAGGATTTTGGGCAATCGATCATTTATAAGATTAGATTAAAAAATAACATCCAAATAGTACACATTAATGTGTGTTTGGGATAACTGAATACTCGTAAAAACTGTATTGATTGAGATAATTGAATTTTGTTTGTTTAAATAGTAGTTGCCTTCATTCCATTCCATATGTTGCATATTATTTATATCAAGAAAATGTCATTGCAATATAAAAAATAAAAATAAAATATTTGTGGTCTTTCAACAATACAAACTCTCAAAAGGTGAAGTATACATAAGTTAAAATATTTTGAGTTGTTCATATTATTAGTGTATCATAATCAAACTATTTTTAGCCATAATCAAATAAATATAACAAAATTCCACACGAGTCATAACCAAAATAATATCAACAATAACCAATTATAGCAAACATTATAATGGATTAAAATCAAATATTTCTTCAGTCATAATCAAAATAACAATCTTACACTACAACAAAATTGAATTTTTACAGCTTGCGATACATGTCGTAAAAACTCTTTCACAACATGCACACAAATGTCGTTATATGACATGCCGTGAAAAGTTGATTGTTATTTATGGCATGCAAGTGAAATTGCAAAAAGTAAAAAATTAAACAATAATGACATATTTTGTATGCCGTAGAAAAATTTTTATGACATTTTTTTATGCCATAAATCATTATACTTTTCATAGCATAATTTTGCATTTCGTAGAAAGTTATTTTTAATATATTTATGGCATACTATGTGTAGCTCGCCTTTTTTGCCCCCCCACCCCTTGGAAGTTTGAAAAGAAGCCCTACAATTCGGACTCCTACAATTCTGAATCTAATCTCACAAGTGCAATGTGAGATTGATAAACACCAAAGAGTCCAAACCCGGCAAATCTTTTGAAAAATCGATTTTTGAATAAAAAATGCCAAAATTGAACTGCTTTGCCAGATACAGAGGCACCACCTAAATATTTTATTTTGGGAAAATTTAAGAAACCCATGACTCGTGCCAAAGGTCACATGTCTGTCATCACCAAGATTGTCTCGGCTCAGAAACTTAAGTACGAGAGAAGAAGGTCATGAATTCAGCACCCCCGCTTTTTACTAATCATGATATAATTTTTATCAACATTATATGCTCTTGTTCCGGTTTATTAGGCTAGCATTACTATGTGATGTGCACAAGCAAGTATAGACTAGTTTGCCCGAATTAGAACAACTCAATTTCATGTTTGTTTTACGGAAAGCGTTTGATTTTGCCACCTCAAGTGGGCTTAAAGTTTGCGAATTTGCCACTTAACAAAGTGGGCTTAAACGTACATTCATTGAATCATTTTAATTCAAGCAACAAGCATTCATCCACAGGCACTCAAGCAATTTAACAAGTAAGCATTTAGCCTCACGATAAGCATGTTAGTCATGGCAACCACACACACATGCAAGTATGCTAAAATGTTAAAAACTCACCTAGTACTCCAAGCTAAGATAAAACAAAAGAGTTAGAAAAATGCATGTTCCTAACTATGCCAAATGTCTAATGCAACACATGTGATATGCAATTACTAGGCTCGGCTACTAATAGGGCATATGGATCAATTCAAGACATGCGGTCTAAGCACATATTCAAAGAATGTATTTAATCAACAATGCAATTAGAGTGATCCGCCGAGCCTCTGTGCATGCAAGACAAGATGAATGCATGCAAGCATAAGGTATGCCAACTGAAATGTGATGCTCCTAATTTAACCATCAAAAGCGAACAAATAAAATGAAGAAAGACGTGGGATTGGAAGGCATACACATTATTACAATATTTTGCTCTCACGAAGGAGACTCCGAATGAATTGAGCTACCTAGCTAACTAAGCTAATTAAGCTAAGCTGATTATTACAAACCAAAATGAATAACTAATTATACTAATTAACTAATTATTACAACAGCAAATGAACTAATTAGCTAACTAACTAATTAAATAATTACAAAACAATTGCAACTAATAATTCAAGAAGTGACTGTTTTAGCCAAAAAGTCAACAAGTCAATAAAAAAACAAAAAAGCCAACATATACCAAAAAGTCAAAAATTCTCTTTTCTCTCCACTTTTTGCACATCTTTAAGTAAAAAACTAAAAAGTCATCTCAAACATACTACTTTTTTTATATCATATTTTAGCCAAAAACCCAAAGAGTTACTAAAAAAGCATGTTCCCAAATGAGGCCTTAACTAAACTAAGCCAATTAGCTACTCTGCCTCGGGAAACGAAGGATGTGCATGTGCATGCGCATGTTCGGTTTCCACCTGAAAAGACCTCTGTTTTGCTCACGAAAGCCTTTGTTTGCATAATTGAACACCTTCAGAACAACTTTGCTCCACCTTACCAACACTCTGTTGAGATTTGCATCGGTGGCCAACCGACCACTGGTGAATATTGCCGGCCACCTGCCGGCCATGGAAAGTGGACTGCCAACCACTGATACACTGGTTCATCTTGCTGCAACAAAAGACAAACCATATACAGGGTATTTTTAAGGATTGTTTGCACAACTCACCCCTCCTTTTCATGAACAAATCCAAGAAGTTGTGAACTAAAGTCAATAACCACCAACTCAAGCAATTTCATCGCATGATGGTTTGTAACTCAAGATGTGCAAGCTCAATAAATGTAAAACAAGACACAAACCTCCACCTTTTCATGAAAGATCAAGGAAAGAAGGTAACCTTGGAGACTTGAAGCATTTCATCACTAGCAAGTATGAAATTGTCAAAGTTCTATGTGTTCAATTAACGTTCGATTGAACACATCAAAATACAACCAAATTCTTATCTTTGCTCACTTTTAGTCCCGAGTTTTAGTTACTCATTTTAACTTACCAACCATCCTTTAATCAAATTAAGTCTAAAGGTGAATTAAAGTCCTCTAATGGAAAGAGGGTTCAAAACACAAGTTGCTTTAGATATGAAAGAAGTATCATACTGTTGGTAATGAACACCCTAAGAAATTAAACCATTAAGTATGAAACCTCAATTTCACACTTAGGCAAGCAAGTGACTTAAAACCATTTTCAAAGCAAAATTAAAAGCCAATAAATGAGGGAGGTTGCAGAGATGATTAGTGCTGAAATTAAGTGCAAAAAGCACCAAAAACATGCACTCAACTCAAACAAGTGGTGTCTAAAGGCCTAAAACACCAAGCTTGTGAGGACTATTACACTACAACTATGCAATATAAGACTCAAATGCAATAACCAACCCAAAACAGAGTTAAAACAATTCAAAATAGAGTCTAAAACATGCTGAAATAAAGCTACAACAAGCTAGAAAAATAAGCTAACATATAGAGCTAACTAGACAAGCAAACAAGACACAAGGAGGAGAGACTAACCCCTCCAAATTTGGACATCAAAACCTGATTTTTACACTGAAAATACTCTGAAAACCAGTGTTTAAAGGCCCAAAAAAAGATGGTTTGAAAATGAGAAACAAAGGTAAAATGGCCTTATAAACAAGGAAGGAAGAGGGGTGAACCACCCCCTAACCTTAAATGGCCAAAAACACCAATTTCAGCCCACAAAAATAGAGTTTTTTTTTAGCTCAAAAACAGCCCAAAACAGTGGGAAAAAGATAGAAAGACAAGTATGCAAAGCAAGCTAATAAAGCAAGTATATACCTCTTGAAGACAAGAGTAACTCTAAGCAACAATTCAAGCCAAAACCAACTTCAAGAGTTCCAAGAAGGCCTCAAGATACCTCAGCTCAAAGGTGAAAAGATTTGATTAAGGAAGTATAGGCAAGAGTATAGTGTAAGTAGGCAAAAGTGTAGAGAATTTGTAGAGAGAGAATTGCATAGAGGAAAACTTTTTAGTCTAAAATTTTCTAACCTCTAAAAAAGAAAGAGGGGGTCCCTATATATAGAAAACATGAAATTTCTACAAAGAGATCCAGCCCTCCATGTGTGGACAAATGCATGCATCTGTGCAAACAGTTAGCACAACTGGCATAAAATATCTGCAGAAAACACTAGTGGCCGGCAAA